GAGAAAAATCGGTCGAATCGGAGCAGGCACAATAAAGAAAGACTGTTGTGACTGCAGGGGGCCTTGTTTGCCGCTGTTGTCTTTGCATTTAATGAGCACGGATAACTTTCAATCGGGCGGCCCCCACCCCGATGGCCGCCGCCCTGTCACTACCTCCCCCTCCACTGGCTTTCCCGTCACGTCAACAACTTTGTTTTCCGGAATTTAAAAGATTCAAAAACATAATGGCTTTCCATTAGAGGCCTTGCATGAATCAGGGCCAAAAGCTTTGGAGCTCACTTGGGTCGGACGAGGCTAGAACCATCTTCGACTAGAGCAGAGACGGCAAAGAAGGGGAGATTGGAGAGAATCCTCTCCAAAGACTGTGCCATGTGGTTCTCCAGGCCGGGGGCTGCCGCCACCGAAAGGGCTCTGGCGGCGACATGACCATCAAGTTGGACAAGGCCAAGACCGCGCCAGGCCACACGTGGCTGCTCAAGGCGACTGATCAAGGCCACTGCCCACAACGCACAGTGTCCAGTAAGGAAAACCGGCAGAGGGAAGTCTGCGCCACAAGGGCCAGAAAGGCAACGCAAGACTACGCGCAGGGACGGCACACACAGCCGCGCAAGGCCGAGCAAGCATTAATGGTCGTTACAGGCCGAGAGCAAGGAAAGGCAGGGAACGGTGTCGTCGGACACGGAGTGACCCCCGCGGGGACGTGAATGAGTAATGGTACCCCTCGCCCCCTCCCTGCCTCCTTGTTGCTCATGTCTCACGGTCGATCGCGTTCTCGGCTGCGGTAGGGTGATGCCAAGGAACGTGTGGGAAAGGGGGCGTCGGCGAAAGAGGCGGGGGCTGTCGCACGGGCACACACAGTTTTCATGGGTGCACATGGAGTCTACTGGCATTTGTGCTCGTTATTAAGAACCGGTTTACACCAACGTTGGTTGTCCAGGTACGAGTGGGGGTTGTTGTCCAGCGCGGAGTAAGGACAGTGCTGGGGCGCGCCGGTAGGGCCTCGAGCGGCGGCGCGGCTCGCCACTGCCCAGGCTTGACCTTTCGCTTCCGGTGCAGTTTACCCCCTCCCCTCGCCCTTCCGAGCCCAGCACAGCCCAGCAGGCTCGCGTGCTGATCGAACGGATAGTCAGCTCCCTCTCCGAACGGCCGAACGGCCCTACGGTCGCTGCTGATGGAAGAAATGACAATTCTAGGACCCTCGGCAGCACCAGGCGGAATAAAACATGGAGAGGTGGATTTAGTTTGATGGCGGCCCCGATGAAAGTTGCAGGCCGTTTATGGTGCGCCTAATCCGGATGGATCAGGCGGTGGAGTGCAGGGTTGAAGTTCAAGATGAGCGGGCAGCAAGGGCCGGCCGAGTTTCTCTCACCCTTTCCCCCTGTTTCCTCCTGACGTGCTGGATCCATGGCTCTTTAGTCGGGCGTTGACGGATGGAGCAAAGATTGAGTGCACTGTTATGCAAATCAAAGTGCTTTGTGGCGTTTGCCTTGCAATTAGCGTGCCAAGTTGGGAGGGTAAACAGAAAATCCGGCCAAATTGGAAGGAAAGCAACTTGTTTAGGGAGTAAGTTTGAAAGGCGCCCAGGACGGACTTCATTTTGTGGCAGAGCTCAAATGGCGCGCCGCGAAGGCCGCGGCCTGGACGGGAAAGATAGGACATTTTTCGTCTTTGGGTAATTACATCACTTTTGTATGGATGAAACGCGGTCGTCTGATACTGCGGGACAGGTAATCACATTACCGTCGAGGAACTTCTTCAAGTCAGCATTGCTGTTGCTTGCGTGAACGTCATTGTCATTGCGTGCTCCGCGTGGTAGGTTGCCAACCGGCACGCTCGATGCGGGCGGGCCTATCCCAAGCCCTCGGACGGACGGAGCCCCTACACACTCTCACGCAGCGCACGGACTCTTGGGTTGGTTAGGCTGGACCCGACCTCACGCTCCAGTGCCTCAGGCCCCTCCAGCCCGATACCGCCGTGTGCTCTGTGCACACTGTCTGAAACAATAAACTGTAAAGGGTGGGACTTGACGATTGAAAAAACATCCAGCATAGTTACAGCCGGCATAGTTATTCCCGGTCGTAGCTGCACGAAAACGCCCTCATAGCTCTTGTTTGCTTTTCTTAACAACTTTCCATTCAATTTTTCAGGAAAAAATAAACAGTTACAATGAAAAACACTTTATTGCAAGTTGAGCTATTGTTTTCGTCGCGGCAGCTCTTTCCCTTCTCCTGCCACCACCGCGACGCCGCAGTCGAGATGAGGAAGAGCGGCAGTGTTCAGACCAGCGACAAGCAGGCCCCGGAGCTTGACCGGCATCGACCCTCGCGCTGTCATTCGCAAAGGTGAAACGGCACGGCTTCCACGAACGCTGCGGGGAAAAGTTGCAGGTCGCCTTCGGGAGAGGCAGCTACTGTGGCCGCGGCTGCAGTCCGCCCGCCTGGTGCACTCCGATGGGTCCACGTGGCTCGCTGACGCGTCGACGGGGAAGGGGGTCCGGCTCATCACTTGCCGCTTTTAGTGACAATAAGGCCTTGGACCGCGTGCGGCGCCTCGCCAGGCCACGCCAGGCTACGCCAGTCACGACAACGGTGCTGGAGGTATTTATAGGCCTGTGTCATCCCGCACCAGGATCGCTGGGCCAGATATGACGGTGGCGTGGGCAGCGGCGAAGCAAAGATCCCGCGGAACAGGAACCAAAGTCAGGGAAGATGAAAGACGGAGATGTGGGCGGTACGGTTTCTTCGAATCAAGACTCCACTGATCAAACTTGGAAGGTCTTCCTCTCCTTGGACTATAAACAGACTGGCTGAAACGTTTGTATTTGCCTTTCGATGCGGGTCGGTGACGCTCGAAGAGAGAAAGGAAGCGCCGATTCCTGAGTAATATTCGCTTCGGTCAACATAATTACCCCGGCGCGGTTTTCGACGGGCGGTTTTGTGAGCGCGGTTTTCGGTGCGCGCTGCCGAAGTGCAGGCCGCGTCTTTTACCATTGCAGCGCAGAGCGTGGCCAAAGCCGAGCCCCAGTAAAGACTATATTGCGCCTACAGAGTTGGCACGCGCCGCGAGGACGGGGCCCGCCTTCCCAATATAAATCCGCCCAGGCTGAGCGCGGCTGAGCGACGACGAATGCAGACTGGCTCCAGCCAGTGCGCTTGGCATCCGGGTCACAGCCCCAAACACATCAAAACATTCCTCCATTTTTCCTGTTTCGGTTGCAAGTGATCCAGAGTGAGCACTTCTCCATCGCGTGGAAATAAAAAAAAATTACCAGCGATATTTTTTTACATGATCATATCTAGGATGTTCCTTTTCCCAGATTGCGTTTTGTCTGTGCGTTGGTTGCATGCTCCACTCAACAGTTTCGGAAATGGTTTCGCCGGATTTGCTGGACTGTCACTGCCGCCGTGCTGGCGCGGCGGCCGGGCCGGCCAGTCGAAGGTTAATCCATTCCGACATGCGAGCAGCGGCGGCGCGGTCACACCGGCAGCACGCCACGCCGCGTTGCCAAGTCGACCAGTCCGTACCCCTAGCCAAATATAGGTTAGCGCAGCGGCTCGGAAGGTCCTGCCGAAAGACAGGAGTACACACCACCATGATAAATAAGCAAACGAATCAAGAGGCAGGTAAACGCAAACCGCTCGAGGGCCGAGTGTCCCACGCACTGTGAGAAAATCGTCTGCATTCGATGGTGGATTAAGTCAGTCGAGAAAAAGGGTTGTATACCAGGGCAATTAGTTATTCCTTAGATTATTGTTTTCAGCAGACGAAGGCTTGGAGTGAGTTGTTCTGCGCTCAGCACCCCGACCTAGTCCAACACACCGCCCCGGTGCGGCGCGCGACGCGGCGAGGTGCCGCGGGCATGGCATGACCCCAGTGTAGCAGTGGGTCACAAGGTTATCCAACGTCCTGGCTCGGCTCGTGCTGTGAGCTCGGCGCGCCGGCTTGGCTCGAAAGGACGGCGTCGTATTTTTGGAGCAGCAGTGGGCATAGCGGCAGGATGGCCGTTTGGCGACAAAAACAAAAGCACTCTGAATGTTGCCGTTCGCTGGCTACGTGGAAGGAAGCCGACAGCCAGAGAGACTTCTTCGACTTCTTCTTTGAAACGATTCTGCGACTGCGAGCGTTTTTGTTCAGCGTCATAACCTCATCGGCATGCCTGTCTGTCTGGCCGAGGCCCGAAATGGAGGCGGCCGCGGCGTGACAAGCAGCCGGCACTTGTCAAAGGCATCTCGTGCCCCTTCCCTTTCTACCCCCTCCACCTTCCTCCCGGCCCGTTTCGATTAGATGATAGCGGCAAGGCACCGCAACCACACTAGGCCAGCGGGCCTCGCTCAGAAATGACGTCAGAATCACACATGGTTTCCTGACCGGGACTTGGTGACAGAAATGCATACTGGTACTTTCATCTAAACGACATGACAATGAACGCAAATGATGAGATTGCCAGAGAAATCCTCTGGGAAGAACCATGCACACAAAAGTTTGACTCGTATTAATACATTTAGGTTAAAGAAAACCCGCTTTGTTTTACACGTACACGAAGTCACACAGGGTACGAAACTAGGCAAGTGGGAAGGCTGCCTTTTGGCTTTTGAGGTTCAGAACGTCTTGCAGTAAAGGAAGCAGTGACTCAGTGGCTTCACTTTCCTCTTAAAAGGGGTAGTAATTTAAGAAACACGGCAAGTAGATCAAAGAAGAAAATCGTATAAGAGGGGAATGAGAAGCAACAGAATAACACAAGACGCTGGCTTCATCCTCACTCCCTGGTGAAATCTTCACCCGGCAGTGGAGGCTTCGGTTTGGTCGGCAGAAGCGGCTTTAAGGGAGCTGCCTCGACCTAGATTTCCGCTCTCCCCCTAAAACGGTTTTCTGCGGTGCGACAATCAATTTCACCCCCGCCGCCTCCACCGCCACTCGCCTTTCTTCTGTCTCGCGCGCCTGTTAAATCAGGAGACACGTTTGCATCCATTAGCGCTGCTCCAGGAATGCGGCACGCCTACCTTTGGTCGGCGACATGTCGGCCTCCTTGATGGCGGTGATCACGCTCATCCCTCAACCGTCACCTTGTCCTGCAGTTACTTCCATCACCTGCAACACACGACCAAAGCGAGCCTGGATAAGACGGGGGTCCACTGTCCACAAACGCAAGGCATTTCTTGTATTTAGCTACCCCGAGCTACCCTCATTGGAGGTACGGCCAGGTTTTCTACTTTACGGCAGCTAAAAGTTTCATCAGACGAACACACTTAATTTTTTTGTGCCAGGATCAATATTTTTTACACCGGGGAAAGAAAAAAAAGCATTATGTAGAAAACCACAAATAATTTAAGACAAAGAAAAGTAGAAAATTCTGCGTTGCAAGGAACGAAAATAAGAAGAGGGTGGTTCGCGGGGTGGTTGCAATCGACCGTCGTCGTAAAGTAGCAAAAACATTACTAGAATTTCGTTTTTATTCTCTTCTAAAAAGGGGGTGAAGGCGAAATCGGCGCCCCGCCGTCTACCCTTCGATGTCCACCTATATATCTGAAGCAGGAGGCCCATATTTCTTTTCCGTCTCTGGCAAAACCGTCTGGCATTCCGTCCCGCCCCGCTTCCCCCCAACCCGCCCCGCCCCCGCGATCACTGAGTGCTATCGACTTTTCAGTCACAGACCCGCGCTCCACCACCAAACCTCAATTCCCTCCCTCTACCCGCAAACCCCCTCCCCCATCGACGCATCACGGAAACCACTACACGCGTGTGCTCCTGCGGGACAGCCAAATAAGTCCATTTATTTCCTGTGCCTCTCGTTAAACGCACCTCGAAACGCAGCAATTTTTTAAAGCTCCCTGAACTCCCCTCTCGCCTGGCACGCTTGCAGCAGTGTTGCGTGCTAAGTGAACAATCCGGCCGATTCCTCTTTCTTTTACACGACGGCGCTAATCCCCGAGCTGCAGCGACGGGAGGCCTCCCCAGAGTCAATCTGTAAAGGCGATTACGGCCAACAACCTTCAAATCCTTTGATCCCCTACGGCTAAGAGAAAAGGACGGGGGAGGGGTAGGAAGGCACAAGACATGTCTGCAAAAGCTCGGCGGGAAGCTCCACGTATGTGTTAGTGTGGGGATGGGGAATGGGGAAGACGGAGGGGGTGAGTGCCCGTGATTCATTTAAGGTGCTGCTGGTAGACAACGTGCCCTCTTAATCGCACTTCACCTGCACTACCCAATACCGATGAAAGGCAAAATAACGGTACACTGCTAAACAGACCCTCTAAAATGGTTTTCCAGCACGGTCACTAATGGACGGCGTGGGTCCCAGCCACAGATAAATCACACTGAACGCGCGCAGTGCGTGGAGAGCGGTGGAGAGCGCCCGGAAGTAACAAGGGAGAAGACGGGCACGAAAGCCGAGGCAAGTTTCTTGCCCTGCTTCCCCTCCCGCTCCGCGCTCTGCTTCCCCGTTCGCGATTCGTTAGGTGAACCGCAGAAGGGGAGGGACAGAGACAGCGCTGCCGGGATCTGGTTCGAGACGGTGCGTGGCCGCGCGCCGCATGTTCGACAGGGAAGAGACAGGGCCCAGGAACATTCCGCCAATTTGGTTCAGTGAACCTTCCTCCTCCTTTGACTAAATTGCCACAGAAGCGGGGAGCCGTTTAGGCTTCCCGATCGGTAGAGTCAGCTGCCTGCACTTCTGGAGCTAAGCGGTAAAACCGTGCTTAAAGTATCTTTAGGAGGGATCCATTTCCCGGCATTACTGTGAAACATTTAACATCGTGCCTACAAACCTCCCAAAAAAAAAAACTTCACAATCATTTTCCTTCCTAATGAATACCCGCCACGAGGAAATTTTGAATTGATGGTGAACTAGGCGCGCGTTCACCCTCATAAAAGTCAAACCCTCCTTGACTGCGCCATTTATACGGGGGCCGGTGGCCTTCGGGGTGCCGTAGATCAGATGGCCATTGCTGTCAAGGAGCGGAACGGTGGCCAAGTCAAGGTGATGTGCGTGCCGTGGCCGTGGCTGGGCCGTGCCGTGGCCGTGGCTGGGCCAGCAGCCCCAGGCCAATAAGGCAAAGTCCGTGCAGGGGAGCCCGGCCGGCCGGCGCACTGTCCAGCGCCCCGACCCTACCGCACCCTACCGGTCGTCCTTATCGAGCGCGTCACTTTGATGCGATCGCGGGATCAAGGAAAGTAGGTAGCGTTGTGATATTGGATTTGGCCATCTTTCCAATAAGGGGCCTTCCTGGGCCCGGAGGCCAAAGCCGCGCCACAAAGAGCGTGGTAATTTAAAAAAAAAACTTGGAAAAGGAGTTTGAACTTGCTGCGGAACCACTCCAAAGTCGAGTATCTGCACCGCAGCTGTTTAAGCAAATGTAAAAGTGAAAAAATAAATGCACGAAACAAGACAGAAAGCAAAGCAGGTCTTCCAATATTGTACCGTGCTTTCGCTCTGCACAGGTAGCGATTCTTTTCTCTTCGCTGTAAAGAAAGTGGAACACCCGGCGATCACTTCCATAAGCTGGGTCACGCGCAGCCAGGGATCAAAAGAGAGATGGAGGCCGCCTGCTGCTCAGCACTGAATGGCCACTTGAATGACCGTGGCACGCCATGGCGGCAAACAACACACTGCTGGCGATGGCTGGAGGCTGCTGGAGGCCGGAGAAGGCCGGACGCAGCCCAGATCAATAGGGCCCTCATAGGTTAGTCAGCATGCAGGGGGCCGCAGCACTCCAATGGCATGCTCTAAAAAAAGGATACGGCTTATAAAACAAAATAAAAATTAAAAAAATATCATGTTTTAGAATTAATGACAGCAAAAAGCTTTGAAATAAGGAAGGAGTTCATTTGACACGACTCAGCTAACGCATTAAAAGTAAGAAATTACTACAGCAGCCACCACAGAGAAGGCCCCATTTCGCTGTGCCGCCCGCCCCCTCCGGGGCTGATATACAGCAAAGGCTCAACTACTCTCCGGTTCCAATAAAATGCAAATAACTTCCAAACCGTTAGCATAACATAGGGCGCCATTTCTGGTTCCGATTGGAAGAAGCGCCGAGTCAGAGTGAAACGGAAAAAGCGAGGGACAGAGAAAGGTTCAGTGATTTCCGCTGTCTGAGAGGATCTAGTCAGCTTTTTCTTTGAATTTTTTTTAAAAACTCGTGTATTTAAAGCAAGCTTTCTCCTATCTAGTGGCGCAGGTCGTTTGCATCATACAACAGAATTGTTAAAATTTACATCATCAATAGGGTAAAAGTGGCGCGGCAAAATTTCATCCTGGTCGGGCCACGCGCTCGTTTTTATGCTGTACCTCGACGTGACCTCCGCACCGCTTCTTTCTCTCTCTCCTCCTTCGTAATTGAAAGTTGAGCTGCTCGTACCGGCCGTCCCTTATTAGTTGAGCAAATATTCCTCCCTTCTTTTCGGGCGGTTAGCCTTTTGCCGTGTGGATAGCAGGATTACACTCAATGAAGCCAGCCTAATTAAACTAGGGGCCAGGACTACGGAGGGTAGCGGGGAGGGCGGGAAGAAATGAGATTTTAGAACGCAACGAGCCGAGAAAAAAAAGACCATCGCGAAATGTGCGGACATTTTTCTTTTTAGTAGTGTGCGAGACAGCGCAACGCGGCGTCCGTTGGGCAAGGCGCGACACAGACTAGCCCAACCAGGCCCAGAGCCCCGTGGCATCGTAAAAATCACGCGCTGCCACTGCTGCTGCTATTTCTGAACGCACCTCGTTTAGACACCGTCGGGGGAAAATATAAATTGCGACCAGACAACGTTGGTTGGTCACGTTAAGACTGCGGCCTGTGTACTTTTTGTCGCTGGGCAAAGCAAACTTCATGCCAAACAAGCTCAAAGCACATTGCGCCAGACCTCTGTGCCATCCTTTTGTTCGTTTGAAGGACTGCGTCCCGCATGCTCTGCCGAAGCCAAGGCTGAAACGCGGTTGTAAAACACAACTGCATCCGGCTGAGTGTCTAATTACGCTTGGCGAAGCAGCAGTGTTCCAGGCAGGACTGATTCATGGGGCTTCGGGCGGGCAGCGCGCAGAAGCGTCGCGACGACCGCAGTCAGGGCTCTGAGTGTCCCAAGGACATTAGTGCCCCGAGAAGGCCTGCCCAGACCGCCGTCGACACAATTGGGCAAGGGCTTTCAAATGACTAGTTTTGGCAGCAAACGGGGTAGTAGTAAGGATCCCCCTTGGCGTGGGCCTCCACTTTGATTCCCACAGTCACGACGAGTAATCTAGTCTCCGCACAACCGAGGCAGAACAATATAAACTGGAGGTGTTGGGCTTGCGTGTCGGAACCTTTACGGATCTGAGGGCGTTCTCCATGGGCCAGGGCGGGGGTGTCCGCAGATCGCTGGAAATCTCTCCTCTCATGAAAGGGGTCCCTAATGGAGGGTCTGCGCGGGAGGGTTCCAGTAGCCGCAGACGGAACCGTGGGTGGCTCCGGGCCGAGTGCCGGCTGGGATTCATTGATTCCCTGCACGTCAGAGGCAGAGACAGATTGTCAGAGTTGTTGCTGTTGTTGTGGGGGTGGCATTGGTTCGCGGGGGTGTACAGAGCTCGGTCTGGCGGCGGTGGCCAGACGAACGACGGCCCTCGAGTACTGTAAACGAAGCCGGAATGAGGAATGGTTCAAAACATCGAGGGGATGCGCCAGGCCCTCGGCAGACCTTCGCCAAGGCAATGGAACCATTAAGGCGGCTGGCGGCTCCACATTTCACATTGCCCAGGACTCGGGGTGCGCGCGGGGTTAAATGTGCATGGTATATCATGGATTAAGAACGCAGCTAAAAACGTGCTGAGCAGACATTAAAGCAGAAACGCTGTGTTTTCGTTGAACTTTTTGGTACACACCTCCGCCGTTCTTGGCCACGACCGTTCACAGCACAGGGCTAGACCATCCTAACCCTCACACGCTCGTCGTGGGGTGGGATGACAGCAAGGCTGCGCGGCCGCGTAAATTGCCACAGTCTCGCGTTGTGCGTTGTCCAGGCACTACTGTGTAAAATGGGCGGTAGATGCGTGCGGGGCCGTGATAGGGCGCAACACTGTCGCCGGATTACACACCTGGCGGACAAAGAGGCACCGCGAGCGGCGC